ACACCTGGACCATAGAAAGTACACCTGGACCATAGAAAGTACACCTGAACTATAGAAAGTACACCTGGACCATAGAAAGTACACCTGGACCATAGAAAGTACACCTGTACTACAGAAAGTACACATGAACTATAGAAAGTACACCTGGACTATAGAAAGTACACATGAACTATAGAAAGTACACCTGGACTATAGACAGTACACCTGGACCATAGAAAGTACACATGAACTATACAAAGTACACCTGGACTATAGAAAGTACACCTGGACTATAGAAAGTACACCTGGACTATAGACAGTACACCTGGACAATAGAAAGTAAACCTGGACCAAAGAAGGTACACCTGGACAATAGAAAGTAAACCTGGACCATAGAAGGTACACCTGGGCTATATAAAGTACACCTGAACTATAGAAAGTTCACCTGGACCTGTCATTCTGTGTTTGTCGGTTTCTACTTCCTGTCCTCTCAAACGCAGCTGGTCGAAGCAGATGGCTGCTCGTCCTGAGCCTGGTTTTGATGGAGGTTTCTTCCTGTTCAAAAGGAGTTTTTTCTTTCCACTGTCTCCTTTGTGCTTGCTCAGGATGGGAGACTGTGATGAAGTGACGATTCAAAATCTGCTGCTTCCTCAGATAGATAACTTTTATAATGGACGTGAATGTTTTTGTTCAGTGCCCAGAGATGACTTCTGTTGTGACTTGGAGCTTTAGAAATAAACTGAATTGAATTACACAGACGCAAAACCTACCACATGTTCAGACCCCTGAACTGAATAAAAGCTTACAGAACTACCAACACTCACCACAGTTCAAACCACAGAATGAACAACAATCACATGTTTAGACCACAGAACTGTGAAGAACAACAGAACAACACAAAACCAACAATAACTACAAGTTTAAATCAGAACCACTAAGAACAAACTCAAGTTCAAACCACAGAACCACAGAGATAAACGTTAACCACATGTTCTGACTACTTAACCAACATAAACCCTTACAAAACCATATGACTAATGTAAAACATTATAGAACCACACAGTTATGCATAAAACAAACTAGAACCAAAGTATAACCACAGAGAAGTGTATGTAAACCTCTGGGTACACGAGGCCTCCAGGGATGACATCAGTCTGGTGATCTGGTAGAAGGTGAACCAGAGGTTATGAACATGTTCAGCATGAAGTTGAATAAAATTATTCACATGAAATACTACAACTGGACTCAAGTGTGATGTATCAACACAAGAGATAGGGTATATGACACTAACTCCAACTCGGTCCTTCTATGTTTCAGAGGTTTGTCATATTCAAGTTTTTCAATTGATCCTCAGCTCTAAAGACAGAAACAGCTTTAGAGAAGCTTGAACTTTCTACTTCAGCTCCAGGGGCTGCAGTAAACAAAGATTACCTTGAAACGGGTACAGAGACTTGCAGGTGCCAATGCTCGGTAAAGGTTCTTCATCGTCGAAGTCGTCATCAAACTCTGAACTACGAGACTTAAAGTGCAGCTCTGCATTGCGGTCCTCTGTGTAGCTGCCATCGGGACTGAAAGAGACAGGAAAGAGACAGGAAACTTGAGAATGAGACAAACTAAACAGACTTAAAAAATGCAGTTACGACCAGAAGTTCTCACAGAGACACAAACATCGATTTCTTTTTTTTAAATCTTCAACTCGTTTACATTTTTTATTTCTGCATGTTTCTATTCTGCAGGTACGCCGGTTTCCTCCCACAGACCAAAAACCTCCGTTATAGGTTCATTGAAAACTCTAAATTGTCCGTTGTGTGTGAGAAAGTGAGTGGTTGTCCAGGTACCCCCCCCCCCCCCACCCCGCCTCACAGTGACAGCTTGGGACACACCAGCTCCCTGTGACCAGGAAATGAGAAGAAGGTAAAGGAAGTGGATGGATGATTCTAAGGTATGCTGAAAAATTCACGCTTTAAAAGCTTTTCTTAGGGAGTGCATCAGAACTGGTCAAAGAGTTCGTACTTCCAGTTCACTCTGATCTGCTGGGAACGCTTTGGGTCCAAATCCTGACTGGTAGTGACTCATTCTTGTGGTTTCTTGGCTGCCCTTCAGGGTGTCCACCTCACTGATGCTCTCACAACCTGATGTGACGTTGAGCTCTGCTCTGGTAAAAACATAAACCTGTGGATCCTTCCTCAGCAGGAGATGTTCTGGATCTCGCTGTGGTCTCTTGGACATCCCAGTCTTCACTTCAACTGAAGTCCTCACTTTAACTATCTTGATTGATCAGAAAACTCTTCTTTCAGCTGCAGCAGTTTCCTGCATTTGGGGAAGTTTTGATTCAACTAACCCTAATTTAAGAAGATGATCAATTTAGCTCATCTGTCCTTTTGATAGCAACCAAACTGGTAAATAGATGAGAGCGATTTCAGCTAGACTCTTTCCTAGCTTCACCTGCGCTGAACACTAAAATGAAGTTGGCTGATAAATTGGTGCTAGGGCAAAAAAATAGAAATGTATTTTTGTTCTAAAGTAAAAGCCTTTCAGGCTCAGAAAACACTTAGCATTGCACAGATTTGTTTCTGCTGACTAAATGATGATGTAAAAACATAAATTATCACCACAAAAAAGCTGAAGACACAAACTTTATGACTTAACTTACAATGACTTATGCAAAACTACGGCCAAAGAACAAGGAGAATATCTGACGAGACTCGTTACAATATGATCCATGCGTCGGAGTACCTCTCTCTGCTGGCTGGACTGCGTTTTTCCAATTGTTTCAAGCTGCTGCTGCCTGGCGTTGTTGCCTGAGAATTCATCCCACAACCTCCACTCTGTCTCCTGCTGCTGCGATCAGAAAAACTGCTGTCTGCCTCCGACAGCCACATCTACAGGAACACAAAGTGCACATGAGGTGTTCAGATCAACACAAAACACATCTAACACTTGTACGATTGTACTACAACATACACATATATGTATCATATTGAACTGTGTGAACTATAACGTGTCAAAAGGGTCGTTCTTTTCCACTGTCTCCAATGTGCTGCTCAGGATGGGAGATGAAGATTTAACACAATCTGCTGTTTCCTTACATACATAACCTTTACTAATGGGCATTTTACAAAGTATGAGAATGTTTTCACCATAAGATGGCTATCCTGTCCTTTCATAGTACAGCGTGCATCAATACTTCAGAAAACACAGAGCATAAGAGACAAACCTGGTTCCTTCTCAGCTCCTCCTCCAGTTTCTGCAGATTCTGCTTCACTTCCTCCAGTCGAGGCTCCAAACTGCCAGCATCACCCATCTGAGGACTTTGTTCATAAACCTCCCTCATTTTCAGTAAAGCGTTTCTAAAACAAACAGAGGAATAAACATCCTTATACACGTCACAAGTACAGACTTTCCTTTTTCTTAAATATATATACGTACTGATTTGGTTTAAAGTGCTTTAATATGTTATATATACTAAAAATATGGTGTTATTATATATGATTGACCCCAGTCTTAGGGTTTGTCAGTAAAGTTGAGCCTCTATTGTTGGATGTGGGGATGACGATGTACACCGCTGGACCTGTCGTTCTTTGCTGTGGCATTTGTGTTGTACCTCATCAATCTGGCCATATCAGGTCTGAAGTGGTTTCTGAGTTAATCTGGAAGTTGAGTATCTGTTTCCTTCATTCACACTCTTCCCATATAAGGCCCATTCAGTTCAGCAAAATGGCCGCACAGACCAGTTTGTCTTTAAGCTTCCTCTACCTTTTCATAAGTGACGGATGAAGCCACTCAGATGTTAGCTTTGAGCGGCACCAGAAGAAACGTGGAGCAGAACGCTGCAGGGCTGAACACAGCATGATGCATTCAGTGTGTGTCGGACATCTCCCTTGTGTCATTTACTGTAATGAATTAGCTCAGTTTATTGATTCTGTTGTGGTAAACTATTTCTTAAACTATCTACAAAGTTGCTGTGCATCATCGTCAATATTCCCTCAGTAATAAATCTGTTTGTTGTTGTTTAATCCCACAAGCGTGTGTTCACAACTAATGCCAGTTCATCACATTACTGAGCTGCATCTCCGGGTTTTTTCTTCTTCACATGTCAGCCAGCCTGGCCCTGTTACTACCTTGATTGGAGAAACAGTCGTGTATCAGAGGTAGGCTGTCTGCGACCCGCCTCACCACCTCGCTGTGTCTTCTGAATGGGCCGAGGCGTCCAGTTAATGTCTCAGTCATTAGATACTGAAGCTGCCTGATGGTTGGCAGTTTATCAGTTGTATGATGTATGTGATGTAATGTGAGTGGTCTGTGTGTGTCATGTGTTTAGTTGTGTTACCTCTGCTCTCTCTCTCGTTGTATTTCCTGGTTGATGTTGTTGATGCGACTTTGAAGTTTCTTGTGTCGCTGCTCAGGAGGAAGGTGGCTGCAGTCTGCTGGACTGGATCCCTGCAACAGTTCAGCCATGCTTACCACAGAAAAACACCAGAACCAACAACAGAACTTCCTGTCCTGGTCTTTGAGATACCTGAATGTTACAGCGACATACTGACCAGTTTTAGCGACAGCTGTCCAACCAAGAAGGAGAGCAATGATAAAGAAAAACATCTTATTTATATTTATTTAGGATAAACTTTGGTTCAAAGAGACTTCCAACAGAAGAACATCTTTCAAGCTTCAACACAACCAGCTGAACATGCACGGTACCAAAAGAATCAGAAGTCCAGAGTCAGTATGAGATGGAGTTTCACTGTTCATGTATGACTCTGTTGGTGTGTTTATGTACATGTCTGTAATGTGTGTGTATTTGTGTGATTGTGCATCTGTGTGTGTACACTGTGCTTGTGTGTGTTTCTGTGTGTACCCCTCTCTTCAGGCTTCGCAGACACTGCTTCCGGGTTCTGGAACCAGAGCTCATGAGATCGCTGAGTCGCTGCGTAATTGGCTCTCTGGAAGATGGGGGTGGGGACTGGGGACTGTTGTCCATGCCCCCAGGTGAAGGTGAGGTTGGGGGTGGAGGTGGAGGCTGCCGGGGGGAGGACAGGAGTGTCAACAGCTGCAGACAAAGAAGCTAAAGTTCAGGCTGGTAAGTGGTTCAGGTGCACTTTTAGGCATCAGTGTGTGTTGGGGAGTATGGGTGGGAGGAGTCACAGCAGGTGAGTGGTTCAGGTGTACTTTTAGGCATCAGTGTGTGTCTAGGGGGGAGGGTGGAGTGTGGGAGTCAGTGAGAGTCAGTGCGCTGAGGGAGAGTCACCTTGTTTTTACGTAAGAAGGGCCACAGCTTCTTGCTGTGTCTCCGTCCCTCAGCACGGTTGTCTAGATAGCTAGATTCAGAGATGCTCCGCCTCATGGTGGCACTGTAATCTTGAAACTCTACATCGCCTGGAGGATCAAAGCCAGATTTATACACCTCCACCACATGACGAGTGTCCTGCACACAAACACAACAAGCCAGATAAAATACTCTTCACATCTTCAGCAAAAAGAGCTAAAACTCAAATATCACCCAAAACTAAAGAAGGTGTTCCCCACATCTCGACCATGAAACACTCATCATCCGTGCTGTTAATCCATCAACATCTTAAATAAATGTTCAGAAAAAAGTAAAACTCCAGCAAAATGTCAGCAGGCTGAAGCTAAAGTTTAGATCTTTCGGGTAAGGTTCAGGTAAACTCAACGCAGGTTTACGTTTGGCTTCAGGTCCGGTTGAGACTCAAGTTGAGGCTGAGGTCAGATTAACTTCAGGTCAAGTCAGGTTCAGTCTACGAGAATGATCTCTGGAAGCGTTAGTGTTTTCTCTGTGTTTCTTGTGGTGAATCGACATAAAGAACCATGTTGACGTGATTCCTCTGTAGTTTCCAAACCAGACAGGGATGCCAGTTGGGAAATGAAGAACTATCATGCTTTAAAATTGTTGAATTTTGACCTAAACTGTATTATTTGTTGAGTTATAGCAAGTTATATCAGTACCGGCCCACATTCAGGTTCGCTTATTTGTACCCATTTATACAGCACCAATTCAAAACAAAAATCATCTCATTGCACTGTGCAAAAACATTCACATACATTATAAAACACTAATTAGTGAAATGTATCTATTCAAGGAAGCCAACAGACTGATGAGTGAAAAGGAATGGCTCCTTTTAAAAGGAAGAAACCTCCAGATCCAGAAACAAGCTGAGGTTGTGCAGCCATCTGCCTCAACCGGCTGGGTTTGAGATGCCAGGAAAGAGACACCGACAAAAACAAAATGATTGGTCCAGGTGTAAATACCTGAACAAATCAGATTTACCACAGGTAAATGTGTTTAGTAGCTCTGAGAAGGCTCACCTTTCTAGGCTGAATGCTTTCAGCAGCATCTATCATCGCATCCAGACAGCGACCTACTACAGGAAGAACTTTTCTTTCTGCCTCTGCTGACAAGCGCATCGCTTCACCAATTCTCTCAATCCGCCGCTCCTCCATGTCCTGAATACGCTGCAAAGCACAGACTTCATGTTAAAACTCTCAAATACATGTGCATTTGTAATCAGAGCGCTACAGGGCCTGGTTTAATGATCTTACAACTGCTACCAGTGTGACACACTTCTACTTTACCTGGTGTATAAAAGCAGTGCCATTCTGAGATAGTGTTGCTTTAACAGAATCAGAAGCGTATTCATTTGCCAAGTGTGTAAAACACAAGTAAGGAATTTGTTTCTGGCTGGTGGGTTCTCTTTTTTTGGCTCTTTTGGATCTCTTGCATTGTAAGACCCCCGCCCAGCCTGGATTCTGAGTCTTTGCATTGAGTTGTCTAGCCCACTTTTGGCTCAATTTCTGGAATCCAGAGACGTGGAGTTGCAACACATGCTGCAGATCTGAAGTCAGCAGACTGAAGGCCATTTACTGGTTCAATGAGCTGGTTGTACACATCTTCAAATGACTGTAAACAAGCTAGCATTAGCTTACAACCTGCAAAACCAACAAGCAGTACACACAGTCCCCCGTCATTGAGGGATTTGAAAAGTGAATGTTTATACTTTTTTGAGATGACTGCTTTCTTGGACTGGAATTGAACCGGGAATGCAAGTAAACCAAAATGTTTTGGTGCAAGAAATTCCAGTGGGTAGGAGTTACACTGTGGAGAATAACAAAGGGTTTTTTATGTTCTACTTGTCCAAGAAGGTGCAGAGTGGTGGATCCTGGCAAGTGCAGGGAGAAATTTTATTCACCGTATCTACATGTTCACAGCACATGTTAGAGATTACTCTCAGCTACTACCACACCAAGTCTTAGCTCAGTGTCTACAAACTAGACGAAGTTACGGTCATTTCTGAGTTTCATTGAGTCAGTTAGTTGTGGTGGCCATCTTGAATCTGTATAATGCAAAAGTTGTTCAGGTGTAGGACAATGGTGGCCTTAGCCCACATAGATTCACCTTTGATAATATTTGTCTTTGATAATTTTCATGTGTGATAACATTTACCCTCGATAATATTTACCTTTGATAACATCATCAACCCAATTTTTGATAGGGAATGGAAGTTTGTACCTCACTTATATTTTAAGTTATCATGTTCACAAGACAGACTGAGAATATTTCTAATTCCTAATTCCTCTCTTGGCACCGTAACAGAGGACAACGAGGCTGTGCAGAACCAGGGAAAACATAGGCAGGACAGACAGGGGCCAGACTGACCACGGCCACGATGGGTCTTACAATACAAAAGAGCCCTATCAGCCATGTGGGCTGGTTAGAACTGCTTTATCTTGTAGATAAGTGCTACATGTCGGAGACAGTGCTTTTTAAGTGAGTACATAAAGAAACTGGTGCCAGTTTGGGATAGCAGTGCATAGCTATCTCAGACTGCTGCTGGTCTGGTTTACCTTGTATATAACTGGTGCCAGTCAGAGACAGTGCTGGGTCTACTTTCTATATAATTAGTGCCAGTCAGAGACAGTAATGGTTTACCTTCTATACAGATGGTGCCAGTCAGAGACAGTGTTCGGTCTATTTGTATATAGCTGGTGCCAATCAGAGAGAGTGTTGGTTTACATTCTATATAACTGGTGCCAGTCAGATATAGTGT